CCTCTCACATGGGCCTCAGGTTCTCTCTCCAGGGGTCTAACACCTCTGAGAGGGCTCAAAACGCTGAGTGATCAGCTCTTATGTGCGTTTCCTGGAGGAGCCTTCTTTTAATTAATCTTGTTGGGGATTCCCTATAGGGCCACGTCACACCACGGGCAGTCACCCCAGGCACTCCCACTCCCACCCCCAGTCACCCAGGCATACCTTTGGCTGGGACGGGTAAATGCCCTTTCTCTTCGGAGCTGAGGAATCTCAGTCTCTCATTTATCTACAAACAGGACAGTTCGGTTTCCTCTTTCATTTCACAAATGGCCCGAAAAGGCAATTGAGATCAATTTGGGGAGGAAGAGGCCATGAATGGAGAACATCCTTTACAAAGCACCAACAGCATGGTGGCAGTTTGAGTTGTAAAAGCTCTTTTCTCCTTTACTTTTTTTCCTTTTCTTTCCATCAGTGGAGAATGATTGTTCAATTTTTGTATCTTAGTGGCTGTAAGATCTTACTGGCTATAAGACCTCCAACTAGCCTTGAATTACAAATACCATAAACATTGTCTCTATCTCAAGAGCAATAGGAGAAGTTACCAGGTTCAGAGTTGGCAGAAGAGAAAACAGACAGACAGAGACCTGGAGTCTGGAATTTTAAATTCATAGTTGCAGGTTGACCACTGTAGCTAGGAATTTTCCAGGATGCAAGTGGCACTTTAGTTAAAACACATGCACAAATATAGGCCATAACCATCTGCCATCCTAGCATACCTGAACGTTTTGAATCTTTTCCTTAACATGCATACTTGCAAGTACAGGTGCCGTAAACAAACCAGGGTGCCCAGATGGCTTCATTCTCCTTATCTCTCCAACATTAAAGGATTGGTTTCACATTTTCTCTCTTCAAGAAGCAACCGACCTGTGGTCTAGGGGTCAGTGTCCTGGATCAGAGTGTGCTGATTGTGGGCAGGACTGCACAGGGATTCACCACTGAGTCATTTCCCGCCTCTCACATGGGCCTCAGGTTCTCTCTCCAGGGGTCTAACACCTCTGAGAGGGCTCAAAACGCTGAGTGATCAGCTCTTATGTGCGTTTCCTGGAGGAGCCTTCTTTTAATTAATTTTGTTGGGGATTCCCTATAGGGCCATATCATGCCACCTGCAGTCACCCCAGGAACTCCCACTCACTCAGGCATACCTTTGACTGGGACAGGTAAATGCCCTTTCTCTTCGGAGCTGAGGCACTCAGTCTCTCATTTATCTATAATCAGGACAGTTCGGTTTCCTCTTTCATTTCACAAATGGCAGAAAAGCCAGTTGAGATCAATTTGGAGAGGAAGAGGCCATGAATGGAGAAGCACTCTACAGAGCACCAACAGTACGGTGGAGTCTGAGCTTTAAAAACCCCTTTTCTCCTTTATTATTTTTTTTTTCTTTTCATCAAAGCAGAATGATTGTTCAATTTTTGTATCTTAGCTTGAACTAGCTATAAGATCTCCAACTAGCCTTGAATTACGAATACTATAAACACTGTCTCTATCTCAAGAGCAGTAGAAGAAGTTAGCAGGTTCAGAGTTGGCAGAATAGAAAACAGACAGACAGAGACCTGGAGTCTGGAATTTTAAATTCATAGTTGCAGGTTGACCACTTGAGCTATGAATTTTCCTAGAAGCAAGTGGCCCTTCACTTGAAACACAAGCCAAGAATAGGCCATAACCATCTGCAGCCCTAGCATACCTGCACATTTTTAATCTTTTCTTTTACAAACATGCTTGGAAGAGGAAGTGCAATAATCAAACCGGGGTGCCCAGATGGCTTCATTATCCTCGTCTCTCCTCATGTTTAGAGGATTGGTTTCCCCTTTTTCTTTACAAGAAGCAACCGAACTGTGGTCTAGGGGTCAGTGTCGTGGATCAGAGTGTGCTGATTGTGGGCAGGACTGCACAGGGATTCACCACTGAGTCATTTCCCGCCTCTCACATGGGCCTCAGGTTCTCTCTCCAGGGGTCTAACACCTCTGAGAGGGCTCAAAACGCTGAGTGATCAGCTCTTATGTGCGTTTCCTGGAGGAGCCTTCTTTTAAATAATCTTGTTGGGGATTCCCTATAGGGCCACGTCACACCAAGTCACACCACGCCATGGGCAGTCTCCTCAAGCACTCCCACTGGCACCCCTACTCACCCAGGCATACCTTTGGCTGGGACAGGTAAATGCCCTTTCTCTTCGGAGCTGAGGAACCTCAGTCTCTCATTTATCTACAAACAGGACAGTTCGGTTTCCTCTTTCATTTCACAAATGGCCAGAAAAGCCAATTCAGATCAATTTGCAGAGAAAGAAGTAATCAATGGTGAACACTCCATTATAGTGCACCTCCAAGTCAAAATCAGGACCCTTCTAAACAACTTCCTAGTTAAAGTATTGACAAGTCAGAATAAACCAATACTACCTATCAAGATAGTGAGTTCTGGGCCTCAGCAGCACTTACCAGTTCAGCTCTAGGTAAATTTTGGAGCAGATCTGCGCCCTATTGGGGCGATTCCTTTACCTTTTGCTGCTGGTGATCTACTCCTTGAGCGTGTCCTCAGTCTTCTTGTAGCCCCACGTCTTGGCACCATCTTGTCAATAAAAACAAACCCAAACTCTGAAAAATATCTGAGTTTGATTCTGAGGTGAATATTTGTGACCATGTTCCTGAAAATCACAGGAAAGTAGTCTTAAGCAAGTGTTCTCTCGCTGATTGGGTTACACTTTGGCTTTATACATTTCAGAAAGCCAGCAGTTACCCAAAATCCAGTACACAGAAGATGTCCATTTGTTTTGCCTAAAAAGGCAGGACATCTCAAAGCTGGGCATTACAGGTAACAGGTGCATTTGTAGACACTGTTTGGAAATACTCTTTGGATTCTAATAACCACTCTGTTTACCCTAAAGTAAATTAGTATACAAAAATTGACAGTTAGGGATTTGTTTTCCTAAGCAGAAACTGTGCTGTGTTTGTCCACTGGACACATAACCAGCTAGCTAGTGAGAGTCAGACAAATGAAGAGTGGGTAAGACCAAAAGGAAAACTTAAGCTGCCATTTTAAGCCCTGGTAACTACAACCTCAATTCCCTAATCCTAATGTTAATATGAGATGATACAAAGAGAGAGTCTGAAACAGATGTTATGTGTAACTTCCAACAGATATTGAAATCAGGGAAGAAAATAAATTCCACAAATAGGATTAAATGGCCAAAACGAAAATGACATCAAAAGTCTTTGACCTTAAGTATCTCTCTTTTAAAACCTTTCAAATGGCATCTATTATTTATCATTCCATTTAGTTCAATCTAAACTTATACATATAATTTTCTGTTTTAAGAAGTTATGAGGTCATGGATAATTTACTTATAAATCTAATAGAGGAAATTTATAAAATTTAAGTCATGAGAAATATACCCTCTTATTAAAAAAATAAAAATATTGTTCCTAACATTATGTTTACATGGCAACTAATTTTTTATAGGAAAACATACTATACACTAAATCCTTTTAGGGTGTCCTTGAGAGAGGACCACAGGAACGTCATCAAAGCCAAAGGGCAGTGGAGCCCGCGCCTCACCCCTTCAAGATCAGGCTCGCTCTGCTGCACTCAAGCCCTGGCAACAAGCCTTTCATCCACCCTCTCTGCCTGTCTGGCCAATCCCAAACTCCGCTCCAGCTGCCTCACAACGTGACCCCTGTGACCTCACGCTCCCTAACGCCCAACTCCACCCACCTGTTATTTCATGGAGGCAAGTCCTCCTATCACTGTCCCTGTGCCAGAGGCACCCACCTATCTACAGCCCTTATGTCCTTCCAGCACTTTCCCTCTCACCTAGCCTGCCTCCGATGCTGAAGAAGAGCCAGGTGTCCCAAGTTTTCAGGTGGCTCATAATTGAGGCTCATTCCCAGGACACGGGGGTGAACTGGGTCTCAGGAGCCAAGCAGAAAGGCTTCACGAAAACACGTGGTGGACAGGGGTCAGAGACTTGAGGCCACCTGGCTGTCCTGACTCTGCCACCAACATTTGCCCCCACCCCTTTGAATCACTTTCTCAGCCTCGCCTATGAGTTCCCAGGGTGACAGTAAATAAGCCTGGACAAATGTGGATGTGGAGAGTAGTAACCAGGAGACCCAGGTGCCCAATGGCTTTTGGGGAAGCACAGCCTGGGGGCTTGTATGTGGGGAGGAGATGCTCTGAGGGCTGGGCACCAAATTCCAGGGTCAGGGAGACAGTTCTTCCCCCAGAGCAACTTCCCGTTGAGAAATAAAAAAATAAAAGATTCAGGAAGAGCATTTTTCATTTTTTTTTTTTTAACTAGAAAGTTCTTACAAGAAAGGGACCAGTACTGTGGCTCAGGCTCTCAAAATTGATCAGTATAAGTCAAGGTTTCTGTGTCTGCTTACTTTTCCCCATCTTAATAAAATAAAATCTCAGTCACTAGAGGGAATACATACAATGGGTATGCGAGGCAGAACCAGAATTCATTAAGGAATCCCAGTGTAGCCACCATTCATCTTGGGAAACAGAGCACCAGTTACCTGAGCAGCCTTCTGTGTGCTAATGCCCCAAACAACTATCCATCCCCTCAGTAGCCACTATCCTTAATTTTTTTGTGTATTCATCAGTTGCCTTTATTTGTAGTTTCACTTTAACTCTTTTGTACTCTTAAACAATAATTGAATAGTTTTCCATGTCCATAAATTTTAAGTATAGTTTTACATGACAGTATTCTCAAGCATCTTGCTTTTGTGGTGCTGTAACTTGCTCCTGCTACCTCACCTCAGTTGCTCATTTATCTACAAACAGGACATTTCGGTTTCCTCTTTCATTTCACAAATGTCCAGAAAAGCTAATTCAGATCAATTTGGGGAGGAAGAGGCAATGAATGGAGAAGACCCTTTAGAATGCACCACCAAGCAAAACTAGGACTCTCAAAACAACTTCCTATAAAAAGAATCCACAGCTCAGAATAAACAGGAACCATCAACCAAGATCTCGTGAGCTCTGGGGGCTCGGGAGGACTTACCAGTTCTGCCCAAGGGAAAGCTGGTAGTCAGGTGGCTCGAGGGGACCGTGCTGCTTCCTGGCACTGATGTCGGGCCTTCACGGAATCCTGAGACTTCATTCAATCCCAGGTGTGAGCACCAGCTTGTCAAAAGGAAAGAACCCAAACTCTTCAAAATCATTAAACGGGTTTATTCTGATCTGTGTGTGTGTGACTCACCTGGAGCACATGGCCTCAGGAGGTCCTGAGAATATGTGCCCAGACTACTGTGGTACAGTTTGGTTGTATACGTTCATGCAGATATGAATTTCAAATAAGGCCCTAAGTCTGTATGTCGAGGGGGTGTATTTGTTTTCCCTGAAATGGCAGGACGTCTTAAAGTGTGTTCTTATATGTTATAGGTGCACTTAAAGATTCTTTGACTTATAACTGGTTAAAGAATGAAGCTTTGTCTTAAGGCTTGGAATTTTTTAACTTGAGAAATCTGTTAATCAGAGACAAGATGTTTACCGAAACTCAAGTGATCTCCTATGTTAATTGAAGAACTGTAGGTTTGTTTTAAGCTGTGCCTTCTATAGCCTTAGGTCTGTTAATGATCTGGTATCTCATTGTTATAAAGTATAATGTCTCCAAAAAAATAGAGGTACATCATGATGCAGGTCTGACCTACCTTTTCATAGCCAGTATCTGAGCCTCAAGGTTTTGTCTGCGGTCCCCTTTGCCAAGACAGCGTCCATTCCATCACAGCTGGAGGGCTTTAAGATTTTATTTTAGTTCATACAGACACGATCATAGAGTGTTGTTCTTTTTGTTGATCCACCACAATCATTGTGTGGCCTCTTTGAAGCTGGTGCTCTGTAAAATTGTTGAAAGAAAAATATTATCACCTTGCTATGAATACCTGGTCTACCCCTAGCAACACCAAATCCTAACAGTGCCAGGTGAGTTTCCAAATATTAGATGTTGCCTCTCTCTTAGTGCCTCCTTTAAGCCAACGCCAAACAATGTCAGGTTTCTGGATGTAAATCAACCATCTCTACCATTTCTGTGATGTTGCTAACCAGCTGCTTGTCCAGGTAGGATGGCCTATAGAAATCTTAGGCCTTTTAATTCACCATCTTATAATAGGACATCTTTTTGTTTCTAAAGCATTTCATAGTTGTGAAACTAACCCAAAATCATACCTACCATAATAAAAAATATTTCTTTATGTTTTGGCAATTAATATATCTGGATGTTGGCAATTAATGTAATCATCTGGAATTGTTTTATTTCTGTGAGAAGCTTATATGTCAAGGCCTGATTTAAGTTCCTAATAGTATACTCATCTTCACAATTTTTAGTTTTTTTAAAGTATTAACCACATAAAACCACATTAAGATTGTGGCTGTTTTCTCTATAAGGTTTAAATTATTGTGAATAGTTCCCAAAATGCTGGTAAGTAATTGTTGGGTTCTTTTTTCAGGTGAAGAACACGAAGGGTGGCTGGGTTCAGAGTGAGGCAGCAATGGATAGAGACCTCTGAAGAGGAGAGCAGTAACATTTCACAGGGTGTTAGGTGACTGTCAATGAAAGAGTCTGTGTAGGATAGGAACCAGTAAGTGTAGTGGAAACTCTGGAACTAAATCAATGGAAGTTTTCATACATTTTTCTATTGCTATTATAGATGCCAAACAAGGTGGATATGGCTTGGCCACTAGATCTAACAAAATACTGAAATGAGCAGTAGGTCTCTAATAGTTCCCACATACTTGAGTCAGCACTTGGTCAGAATTTTCATGAAGAAAAAGTGAAAAAAGATTTTTAAGCCTAGAATCCTAGAGAAAAATCTGATAGTTTATATTTCAGTATTTATGTTTAAATAGGAGCATGCTTCTTTTAACTTGAAAAGTGCACAGTTATTAAAATATACTTCTATTAATACCTTTCACTAAGATATAATTAACCTAAGATCAACTCTCTTTTGCATTTGCCAGGTTTGGAGCATTTTATTTTGTGCACAGAGAGAAGTAAAACTTAGGGTTTTTTTGTTTCGTTTTAAAATACAAAAGTTGAAGGACAATGGCTCTCATTACAGTTTTACATTATTTAAAACCTGAAGAGTTTTAACAAACCTAATTATTCCCATTTTCTTTTATTTTGTAGAACAAAGTTACTGTTCTGAATTTTGGAAGGGTAAAACAAAAAATAGTAGTTATAGAAGACATGATATAAATCATAACTAATGTCAGAAATAATTGTAAGCAACATTGTAAAAACACTGTAAATAACAATTGTAATT